CAAAAACAACATAAACACTTTGGAGACCTTTCTGAGGACTTGCTCTTTTATCCTGGGGTAAACTTGAATGATTTTCAATCAATTGCTTCATCTCAGAGGGATGTTGATGGAAAATCTCCTACTCAGGCACTGAAGAAGGGCAGAATTCTTGGTTGTTTCCTCCCTTTGTCAAGTCAGTCAGCTGACACTTTCTCAGCATTCTCACACACAGCTTTGTTACCGGATTCGAATGAGTCTTTTTCTGAGCCACTGATAGAAAAAGTATACTGTGGAACAGTATCTTGTCTGAATTCTGCAATCCCCTCTGTATGTGTTTGAAGTCCTAGATCCCAGGAGGAGAGACAATCAAATTAGCCAAAGGTAATTTGTGAAGACTGGCCATGGGAGGTGGTAGCTAAAAGTCCTCTGGCCCCTGCTCTCTGAGCATGACCGCAGGAAGTCCTGGGCCGCACTGACTGCTGAGAAAGAACATCTCAGAGCATGGATCTCATTTCAGAAGACAGATGCTCTTCCACCCAATAACAGAAGGTAGGTAGAGGAATGGCGGGTCCATGCTGTGTCCTACAGAGCTCTCAGTTTCTGCACTTGAGGCTCTGGGCCAACGCAGACGTGAAGACTCTTCACTTTTATCAGGAGGAGCCATGAACGATAGGAACCTGCAAATGAGCAGAAAGGATCTGACAATTAAAGTTTCTTCTGAAGCTGTTAGAAATTCAAGTCAGTGAGTTGCTTCTCTACTAGTTTTTTTATTGCCAACTCTAATTCTGCACTGTGTTGCAGAGTGGGGTTCGGGGGAGCATGGAATTATTCCCTTACTATCTGCTGCTTTATCTACTGAAATTGATCAAAGCTATAACAAAAACATTTCTAGAAATCATTTGAATGTGGTAGGAAAACTGTGGGCATGGAGTCAGAAGAAAGTATCTTTTGGAGTGCTTTTTCAGGTCTAAAATTCTTTGCCAGAAATGTCCTTTAATGGAACCTCCAGACTGGGTAGGAAAACAGGGCATAGTAAAAGGCATGAGCAGGAATGAAATAAATGCAGTCCAAAGGGGGAATGCAAGACTTATGCAATCTGAGGAAACTTTGATTTAGGGTAAACCTTTTCCAAAGGAAAACCTTTCAGCGAGGCTATTAGCTAAGTGCATGGACTGCAGATTTGTGTTACTGAAAATTACGAGAGGTGGTTTCTCAGAGGGACGGTCATGGAGGTCCCAATGAGGAGGCGTCGCCTGGCCCCAGGGAGCGCCCAGGTTCCGCGTCTCTCCACTTGCGCAGCTCCTGCGGGGCGCCCCCACGGCGGACTCCGTGTCCGCCCCGCGCACAGGCGCATCAGCCTCGAGGCGGCGGGGCTCCAGCACGCCCTCAGCGGCTCCCGGTGTCCGTTGCAGGTGGTTGGGGCACGGAGACGCGCAGCACGCGCGGAAATGGCCATGACCCAACGGCCTTTGCTCTCATGGCGTCCTCCTGGTGTTACCTAAAAATAAAGCTACGTGTGATTAGAAGGTAATCACCTCCTGGTCATGCTCCCGCTGGTCATCAGTGTCCGCTGGGCGACCCCACCCTTGTGGCCACAGCGGGCCTATGGCTGCGCTTAAGGCGGGAGCGTGCCCAGCGGGGACCCTGCAGGACTCCCAGACCGCGCTTCTTTCCCTTGCTGGCCTGGCCCTGAAATGAGGGAGGAGGTTTAACAATGCCGTGGGAACCCCAAAGTGTGTCTCCTCCGTGCCTCTCACATTTTGAAAAATACAAGAGCTTCTGGAAAACCTCAGCAGGTGAAACTGTGAAGCGGTTCAGCAAAGAAGTAGCTCCTGTCCTGGTAAAATCAGCGACATTCTCCGGATGTCCTCACTGGGTGAGTTGTGAAGCTTGTTGACTTAATCAGAATGATCACCCAGCATGCATGTTCCACTACGCTCGTTTGTCAATGATACGAGCGGCTGCGAAGTGGGAGAACAGGCCTTTAGTCGTAGTCTGTCCACTGGCAGCACAAGCTGGTTGTGGATGCAAGAGTGTGGCCAAAGTCAAGAAAAGCTTCTATGAGAATCACTTACTTATGTGCAATTTATAATAAAAAGTAGGGTATATTATTTGTAAATTGTAGGCTACACATGTATTATATCTAAAATTTACTGCACACGTGTGTGTGTCTTCTTGGGCAGTTGGGTCAGTGTGTATACTTGAGAATATAAGAAAGTTTTGTTTTGGACTTTGATGGGGTATAAGATATGTGGGGTGGTTGTGTGTACATGAAAAATGTGTTTATGTGACTTCTTAGTTTGCAATTTGATATGTATTTAACTGGTGAGAATCTAATATATATTCACATGTATGGGTTGGTGGTGTCTGTGTGGAGACTGCAGATTAAAGACGGTCATAACTGGGCTGGGTGCGGTGGCTCACGCCTGTCATTCCAGCACTTTGGGAGGCCCAGGCGGGTGGATCATGAGGTCAAGAGATCGAGACCATCCTGGTCAACATGGTTAAACCCCGTCTCTACTATAAATACACAAAATCAGCTGGGTATGGTGGTGCATGCCTGTAATCCCAGCTACTCAGGAGGCTGAGGCAGGAGAATTGCCTGAACCCAGGAGGTGGAGGTTGCGGTGAGCTGAGATCGCGCCATTGCACTCCAGCCTGGGTAGCAAGAGTGAAACTCCATCTCAAAAATTCAAAAATAAATAAAATAAATAGATTCTCAAAAGAAAGGTGAATGATGCCTTGAAGTCTTAACCAGCCGAGTGCACCAGCAAAACCAGTTCATGCTCTGCTGGGGTCAATTCTCATCATAGGCAGGTTTTGTTTGTTTGTTTGTTTTTGAAACAGAGTTACGCTCTGTTGCTTGGGCTGGAGTGTAGTGGGATGATCTCAGCTCACTGTAACCTCCACCTCCCAGGATGGAGTGATTCTCGTGCCCCAGCCTCTTGAGTACCTGGGATTATAGGTGTGCACCACCGCACCTAGCTCATTTCTTGTATTTTTAGTAGAAACAGGATTTTGCCATGTTGGTCAGGCTGATCTCGAACTCCTGTCCTCAAGTGATCTGCCCAACTCACCCTCCCAAAATGCTGGGATTATAGGTGTGAGCCACTGCTCCCAGCCATCACAGGCAGTTTTAATGTCTGCCCTGAAGGGCCTGAGACAACAGTGATTTCACTCCCACTCATGTTTTCCCAGCAGGGTTTGGAGAGGGGCCCTGTTGGTGGCAGGGACAGCCAAGAACCCAGCTTTCGTATTCCTAAACCGTGAGAGATTTTGAATTGTCCCTCCCTCTCTCAGTTGGTACAACAATTCAGATAAGAGCTCCCTAGAATATAGAACCCAAAGAAGCCACAGGGTGGGGCTTGTCCAAATTGCTGTGTGTGCTGGGGTGGGACAAGAGCCCTGGGTTGAAAGGACTTTTCCAGATGAATTCTTCAGTCCTTCAGAGCAAGTGTCCTCCTGTCCAGGTGCCTGTTCTCATGGCGCCAGGGGAAGGGATGAAACATTCAACAGTCTTGTTTCTGGATGGGGACTAGAATTTCCCCTCTATATCCCGTGTCACTCAAACTATATGCAACATACTTCAAGCTGGCTTTCTATGCCAGCAGACGCTCCCCTCCCATCGTGGAGTCTGCACCTAGGAGGGGACACACTCCGGAGTGACTGAAAATATGAGGAAGAAAAGATGATTGCAGGGAGAGAACTGGGGTCACAGGCTCCTTGAGAAGCATCAAGCTTCTACTTTAGTAAAAAGCATTAAAGATAAGTCACTGGAGAAACCAGGAATCTTAAACCACTTTGCCTGCCTGCCAGCAGCCGTCACCTGCCGTGGGGCACCAGGTCAGGGAGCAGCATCGAGACTTCAGAAAACCACTGTGAAAATCCACTGAGTGACCTCATTCCCTCCTTGCCTGCATTTAAAACCAATCTATCCTCATCAAAATGGTGTTCGGGGCCTCCCATGGACCAGGAGTAAAGTTCAGGCTGTCATGTTAACATTATCTTAGGCCTGTGAGGGCTGATCATCCGAACTGGGTCATCCAGAGACGAGAAGCCGGGGGGAAAGCACTCAGGGATCAAAACATTGCTCCAAGGGTGTCATTCTCTGCAAGTCTGGCTGCTGGGACTGCTTGTTGAAATCTGAAACCAGTTTTATCTCTAGCTTCTGAGATAATTTGCTGCAACTCTTAGACTCATTTTTTCCACGCCATTGCTCAACAATCAGAGCCTGCCAGCTCCCCAGCTTCCCGGTGCCAGTGAACTTTCTCAACGAGCAATACATAACATTGCAGAGCATACCAGAGACTACCTGGTCTGTGTGTATGCCCCGAGTTGTGATTCTCTCTTCCCAAATGAAACATTACATTTAGATATTCTGGTCTATATTTTTATTTTGACTTTGCAGGCTCTATGTATTTTACATTTTTACCATTCCACATCAATTCTCTGTTTGTTTAAATATTTTTTTTAATAAGACAAACCCTTGGCTGGGCATGGTGGCTCATGCCTATAACCCCAGCACTTTGGGAGGCTGAGGCAGGAAGATCAC